TGTAGAGCTGTGTGTGAACCAACAACTATGGTGGAAAGTCTCAAGATTCCACCCAGATATTCTCCTGCAAGCATCTTCCGTTCTTGACTCTGCTCACATACATTTGACTCAACTAAGAAGAGACCATAGAAAGTGCATAATATACATCATTTCCTTGTGTAATGAACATTACAAAGTGTACGAAGGTAAAACTGGTCCCTGATATCCTCACGTACAAGGGCTCTGGGCCCATAGAGAACACAGACCATATGAACTGAAAAAACTAATCGCAAGGCTGGAATGTAGCACAGTGGTAAAGTGCTTGCTTAGCATGTGTGAGGGCCTGGGTTTAGTTACCAGAGTGAAAACAAAAACATTGCTGAGAATGTCTAGTAAAAGAACTATATAACTAGGCTGGGCTTTATTGATCCTTCCCTTTATTTCATTCAGGGATAGAATGGACACACAATTGTCTTGCTGCCTCTTGTCTGGCATATATATGTGAAAATGACTGCAAATAATGCATCCAAAATGATGCAGATCCATTGATATTTGTCTTACAGAGTAGAAACAGAAGGAAAATTCATCCTATACCATTTTACAACATAGTCAGACCATGAAGAAGTCATTAAAATAATTTTAATACGCATCGAACCATGACCAATTTATAATTATGCCCCAAGGCAGAAGTAAAATGTTTGCACATGTGTACTTCAAGTGACGTGTCTTTAAAGTAACATATAGGGAACTCTACCTGTTTATCTGATTTCATGCCTTATTAGGTACTAAAAGAGAAATGAACAGTAGATAAAAAAGAAAGAATGCCACCACAGAAGAAACCACTCCCAGCACATCACCAAGACATGGTGAAGATGTCACCTAAGGAGTCCTACATCCAGAAACATGTTTAAGCCATTCAAAAAAGAGCAAGAATCATCTGCTACCCAAGAAAACTGCACCCCATCAGAGCATCCTGATATTTCATCTGCTGGGACCTACATCTCATTTTCACTATTGCCAATAACTTTGCCAGAGCCAAAGTTAGGCAAGTTTTCAGCCTCTAGAGGCCTATTTCTCTTCTTTTTTCTACAAATAATCTGCATAGAAAATATAAAAATATATCTTCAAGAATTACAACTGCCTCTTTGTGTGATGTGGTGACAGCTACCGGTACTTGGATATTTCCCCAACTAGGGCCTCATGGACTTCAAGTCAGGGTGGTACCTCCACCCAAAGTAGGTGCAGAGACAACTTGTGAGGGGCCAAGTGGATGGGTCAGGAACTGAGCCTCAAAGCCAACACTTCCAACATCACCCTGTCCCACCTCTTGAAAGCAGTTAGCTTCATGAAAGTCTAATAGCCAAATACTTTCAGCTTCCCAGCCTATTATGGGCAAATGGAATATAAACCCTGAAGTAATTTGGTATCCGCATATTCAGTATGAATTATCTCAAAAGATCTAAGAAGAAATTACTGCCATTCAAGTTATCCTAGCCCTCGAAATATGTCCAGTCTCTGATTTGTAAACCTCAGCTCAGTTTTGAAAGTGTGATTGAGCCTTGAGGTGCCAGAGGCTGAGATAAATCTTCTGTTTATAACACAGAATGCTGTGATCACTGTCTTTGTGGTATTTACAGTCAAAGAAGAGAATACAGACTTTAAGAAATCAAGGTCTGGGGCAGGAGAGGCGGTTCGGTGATTAAGAACAGTGGTTGCTCTTGCAAAGGACCTGGGTTTGATTCCCAGCACCCACATAGTAACTAACAACTGTCTGTAACTCCAGTTCCATGGGATCTGACACCCTCTTCTGACCTCCGTGGGCACTGCATAACATGGGTTACATACATGCAAACAATACATTCATACATGTGAAATAAAAGTAATAAAAATAATAAAAAAGCAATCAAGGTCAGTATCTACTTTGATAAACAGAGCAAGAGCTACAAAGAAGATACTCTGCATAGAACTGCTCCTTGACAAGCCAGTGTGTCACTGGAAGCTTGCTAGAGAGTTTTAAAGAACTGCCAGGTCTTAGGCAGGGAGGAGAGTGAATGATATACCCCGACACAAAATTCATACAAGAGGCCCTTAATTCATAACTATCAGATGAAGAGAATAGCAAAGAAACGAGCAGCCCTATCTAGCTCTTGTCTCACAGAACCAGGTGCCTAGGAGGAACTTAATCACAAAGAGCCTGTTAGTTTTTCTTCCCCAAACATGTGAAAGAAGCAACCTTGCATGCTTGGGTCATTGGTAGGGAAGACCTTGACTGTTTTCAGAGCAAATTTCTTTAGAGTTTGTGCTGGCACAAGGCAGTGTGGAGGGAGAAGAGCAGACATGATTAGCAGGATACATGCATCCTCCAACGGAAAAGCAAAGGCAGGGAATCAGAAAAGAAGGCAGAGCTTAGCTCATGGCTTCTAGCAGCAGGCCTTTGTAGCTCGGGGAACTTGGCATTCTGCCCAGGATGCTGTGAAATGCTTTTCCTACAAAAGCAAAACTAAATGAAGCACCCTCTTGTCTGTAGTTTTCACCAATTTTTGTTCTGTACACCCAAATATACCTGAAGGTAGGAGAGACTGGCTCAGTTTCAGACATAACTCGAGCTTCTTTCATAGAGAAGTGGGCAATAGGTGGCCTAATATGTAAGCTCATGGCTTATGAGATAGTTTGGAATAAAAGGTTATAGGGGTATAAGTCCTGGTTTTTAAAAATATTTTATTAACTTATTTTAAATTTTATGTGTATGAGTATATTGTCTGTATGTATGTAAGTGCACCTGTGCTGTGCAATGCCCACAGAGATCAGAAGAGGGCATCAGATCCCATGGAACTGGAGTTACGGATGGTTGATAATCACTATATGGGTGCTGGGAATCAAACTCAGGTCCTCTGCAAGAGCAACCACTGTTCTTAACCACTGAACCACCTCTCTAACCCCAGACCTTGGTTCCTTAAAGTCTGTATTCCCTTCTTTGACTGTAAATACCACAAAGATAATTATCACAGCCTTTTGTATTATAAACAGAAAATTTATCTCAGCCTCTGGCACCTAAATGCTCAATCAGACATTCAAAACTGAGCTGATGGCTGTTAGCTACCATGTGGATGCTGAGAATCAAATCTGGGTCCTCTGCAAGAGCAGCCAGTGCTCTTAACCACTAGACCATCTCTCCAGTCCCAAGTTCTGGTTTTAAAACCCTTCTGTGTCTCTCAGCTTCTAAGGCAGTCACATTTTGATTTCTTTCCCTTGCTAAGTGCTATGAAAAATGAGAAATACAATAAAGCACAGGCTATTTCTTCGGCTGGTTATATGAAAAAAAAAAAAAAAAAAAAACAGAAACAATCTTGACCTGTCAGTATGAGGACGTAGAACTGGAGAATGAGGGAACATCTGCATGTATAGACAGTGGCATCCTCATCTTCAAGGTAGCAGGCAGAGAGAGGGGAAGTCCTAACAGTTAGGGAGACGGGGAAGTCCTGAGGAAAGTAAATACTCCCTGGAGCAGGCTAGAGAAGCAGCTGTTCTCCAGTGGCCTCTGCTCTGCTGGCACCCACAAGGCCTTACCTATTTGAATACTCACTAGAGCATCATTACCATTATTCTTGTTTCATAGGAGAGGGTCTGAGACAGTGGGTACTAGGTTGGATGTCACCAGCACAAGTTACCATTTCCCCTGTCCCTGAATACTGTTGAATATTCATACTTCAATACTGTCTGAAGGAACTGGCTGCATTTAGCAGTTTCATGTTGGAAGGGATAGTTGGAAACTCACAGCTTATTTGGTGTCCATGGATTCACATCGAAGAAAAGCTCTAAGAATCAACCAGCACTGTACTCAGGAAGGAGGGATGACGCTGCCTTGAAAATGGATTTGCATTTTCTGAACTATAGTTTGAGCCAAGGAAATGAATTTTCTGCCTAGGATCTACTCTTTTATCTTTCTGAACCAGTCCTTGTATTTTACTTTTTATTTTGAGACATGGTTTTACTAGGTTGCCCAGGCTGGCCTCAAACTTGTGATCTCTCTGCCTGAGTCTCTCAAGTAGCTGCTGTAACAGGCCTCTGCCCCCAGACACAGCTCTCCCTCTGTCTTCTCATCTGCCATCCCAACAAGGAGTCACAGCGTAAAAGCAGCAGGGCTCCAACACAGAGAGGGCTCATTCGGAAACCTAGCTGGAAACCTTCTTGACTTCACTAACTCTCAGTTTTACTCACTTACAAGAAAAGAAACAACATCTTTCTCACAGGACTGTCATAGAGACTAAATCAGATAACAGCGTAAGGGATTTTTTAAAAACCTGAAAGGCCCATAGTCCTGGTTGATTGCTGTTGATTATTCCTTGTGCAAAATGTATTCACTCCACAGGGACTTGTACCATCCACAGTGGATGCCTGGAGCGCCTAGGCTGGGTGGCTATGAACTCAGAGGATGTCGCTGAGGCTCCTCTTAACTCACCATCCCCCTCATTAGTCTTGTCTGAGCACTGGATTCCTATGTGGTTCTCTAAGTCAATAGTTCTTTCCTTTGGTGCAGTGGAGCCCAGACACTGAAGCACCACAGCATATGAAATCCAGCATAGGAACGTTAAGTAATTGATTCGGGAAATGGAGCATCTTTCTGGAACAGTTAAGTTAAAGTCACCATCTCAAAATTCAAAACAAAAAGATTATACTCAATTCAGATTCTAGATGACATTATCTACAGAATACATTCCAGCCTTTGGTGGCTACTGAAAAGTGCCCTGGACAGATTATGATGGATAAATATACTTCTTCTCCCTTAAGAATGTATATTTGAAAGAGATATATAACATCATTTCAAAACTTCTTTTCCAATACAAAGCATAGAAAATTCAGTCTTAATATTTTACCCAATATCTCCATCACTTGCTAAAAAAATCCCTTTGAGGAAAACCAAGTTTGTTTTTTTTTTTAAGTTAGATTACACATGAAATCTCATAAAAATAAATACAAATATTATCATTTGACTTTAAAATGGTGTAAAGTTGGTACTTCACCTCTGTTTCAATACTCTTTGGTCAATTTGTCCAGTTTCAAGGTTTTCAACTGGATGGAAAGATGGCATCTTTTCCTGATAGCTGATGGAACCAAGGGATTGTTCGTTCCTGTAGCAAAGCAGAAGATCTGGGTCACAGTCATGATGTGTTCAACAGAAGCCATAACCACTGATCTCACATTGCTCAGAGGGAGGGATCAGCCCACTAAGCAGATATCCAAGCTCACATGAGACTCATGGCTGAGCGAATCACAAAGAGGACTCCCAGGTTACCTCATACAGTAGCTCTCTGTGAAGAGTAGACTGATTAGACTGAAGCCAGTTCCTACTGCTTTCATCAGTCTCTTTGTTTTATGGTGTGTGTGTGTGTGTGTGTGTGTGTATTTGTTTGTGTGTGTTATGTATGAAAGTACATATGTGTGTGCACATGTATGTGAAGGCCAGAGGTCAACCTTGGGTGTCATGCCTCAGGAGCCATCCACTTTACTTTTTTGAGGCAGGGTCTCTCACTGAGAATTGGGCCTCACTAATAAGAATAGACTCTCTGGCCAGTGAGTCCCAGGGATCTGCTTGTCTCTGCCTCTCTGGTGCTGGGATTACAAGTGTGTGCCACTATGCCTGTCTTTTGAACTTGGGTCCTGATGCTTACATAGTAAGCACTTTAGCAACTGAGCTAGCTCCCCATCCCCAAGTCTGGCATATTTTTAAATGATGTTGAGATAAACCTTTCCTTTATGAAGTGATGATGAGAGTAGACTCTATCTTTCTCAGTCAATTTTGTTATTTAGCAAAAAAACACAATAAAATAAAACATAATTAACCATGTCAGATTTTTTTTGTCCGCTCTGCTATTTGGGGAGAGGGCATTTATTCCTAACAAAACCTCTTCATCTTAGACCAATACTTTATCACTTTTATATTAGTAACTTTTCTGTTGCTGTGATAAAACACCATGACCAAGGAAACTTATAAAAGGAAGAGTTAATTGAACTTGCAGTGGTTAGAGGGATTAGAGTTCACCATGGCTTGGAGACATGGTGACAAGAGGTGGCCAGAGTAGAAAGTGAACACTCACATCTTGAAGCAGGTACAGGAAGCAAAGAGTGACTGGAAATCTGGCAAGGCTTAAGAACTCTCTAAGCCTGCCCCCAGTGACATGCTTCCTCTAGCAAGGCCACTCCTTCTAAGACCTTCCAAAACAGCATCACCAACTGGGGACAAAATGTTCAAACACTTGGAGCCTATGGGGGACGTTCTCATTCTAACCACCACATTCTATTCTCTGGCCCCCATAGGCTCATGACCACATAAAATGCAAAATGTTTTAGTCTACTTTCAAAAAGTCCCCCACAGTCTTTACCAGCCTCCACTCTTCATGTGACTAACCGTGTCAGGTCTTTCATTCACTCCTAGTAAAATCTCTTCTCCTTAGGCCAACACTTTATCACTTTCAAGTGTTGTAACAAGAAGCCCAGTAGGGAAAGCAACTCCTTCATGATCACTCAGTAGTGGTGCCAGAATTTGTCTTTGTTTTCCCCAATTTCCTACCCAATGATTTTCCCACAAATCCAATGAGAAGAACAATAATTAAAACCAGCCATAAATACTCCCACATACCACATGTCATTTGCGAAGTTCTGAATAGAACGATGAGTCTTTGCAAAATAGCATACCAGGCACCCATTGAATGAAATTTTACTCAAGTTGAAACCCATCTGTTCCCTGTGACCTACTACGCTTAAGAATGGGCCAAAAGAATCATTTTTTCTACCCACTTAATCTTACAGTTGAATAGGCTAAAACTAAATAAACAAATAAAAGTAAACAAATTGCCAAGGTTGGGTAAGTAGCAAACATAACAGAGGTCTAAAATCAGTTGTTTAGGTATATACCTTCAGGTTTTTTAAAATCAAATTTCCTGTCTTTATTAAGCATTTTTACAAAGGTTTGATTTGATGATGCATTTTCATGTCTGTCTATTATCATTCTCTGCTAGCAATATATTTTTTCAAGTGACAATATATTTGACAATAACAAGTATAACCAGCAAGCATGCATTCTCTTTTGATGTGCAGTTGTGGTATCACATCAGAATTCAAGACCTCACAGTCCTTAGAGTTAGTCAGGGACTTACTGGATAGGACAACAAACTCCCACTCATAAATCTCTAGGCTACCAGTGCAGTGTGCCCAGCCTTGGCTACACATGAAATTAGCTCTTGTAAACCAGGTTAAGAAAGCTTCATAGTTAACAAAGGACTGTTTCACCCCAGTAGAGGGAAGAAAGATTGATCAAAGGTTATGATATCTCAACGTCAGTGTGAATTCAAGGAGTTAGGTGCTCTACTAGTTTTAGAATTTACTGATGAAGAAACAGGACCTCCAGCATTTAATACAATCAATTCATGTCAGTGGTAGGACCAAGGATGAAGTCCAGATTTCTTGGCAGTCCAGTCAATTCCCATGTGCTGCAGAACATTATAAAGGGATTTGCAAGCTGCCTTTTTCTTCTAAACTGTGCCCAAGGCAAGAACAAGATTCTAGTAAAAGGAGAGGGACTTCCAGCTCAAAAGTCCTAGTCATCTTAAATGCTGGGAAATGACTTACTGACTTTGCATTTTCTTTGAATTTCATATCCTCCTTTTTGTGAGAGAGGAGTAAAAGTTTGGAATGGGAACTTCACTAAGAAGTCACAGGTCTAGGACCATGCCAAGGTGATGTTTGGAAAAAAAAACCTTCAAAACTTGGGAGAATTTCAAGTCTAAATTTATTTAGAATTACTCCTATTATTTTTAAATCAGTTCATTCACAGCCTTGATTGGCCTCAATTTCACAGTAATCCTCCTGCCTCAGCCTCCCAAGTAGGAGGCCCTGGGATTACTAGTGTGAGCCAACCATGCCCTGCTTTCAGCCCAGCCTTGGGCTAGCCCTTGAAGACCACCTGTTCCAAATACCTAAATGCTCTAGAAATCAAAGTGTTTAAACCAAGTCTCTCTAATAGTTTATTGCTTATCAAGAAAAAGAGAAAATAGATTTAATTTCAGGTATAATTTCAGAAAATGTAAAAATAGAATAGTTACCATTAACTATCACAATCATATTTTTAAATGAATGAATAATTGGTCAGCAGCAAATGTTTTACCCTAAAAATCTTGACAAGTCTCAAATTTCAAAACATCAAGTCAAATCCTTGAAAGGACTCTAGAGCATAGATTTGTAAGACCGACATTGTAATTTGATAGTGTCATCATTCCTTTGCTTTGCAGAGTCAGAGATGAAACAAACAAAGCCACACCCAACCCTCAGTGCCTTTCTATCTGATTTCTCTGAGGGTGCTGTCATCTGTTCCTCATTTTAAAGCTTACTCTTAAAGAATTAGGGAACTCATTGTGGTAAAAGGGGTTAGCAAATTGGGAAGGCCTTGAGAAAAGAGTATTAATTAATTACTAAGAGTCTTAAGCAAATAAACACATAAACGAACAAGTAGTCTGGGAGAAAAGACACCTTCTGCCGCAGTCATTTTTCAAACGTGAGCTACAGAAACTCCTTCCTAGTTATTTCTGTATGTTCTTTCTATTGTTTGCTCCATATCATTCTGTACAGGAACTTCACGCCTGCAGATTCCCCTAACAATTTTGGAGTCAGTCTTTAAAGAACAGTGGAAAGAAAAATGAAGAATTTTCATTCACAAGATTATGCATGATATTTAGTCAAATATTAAAAGTACTGTACATACCATTTAGCTGAAAATAGTTTTCAAAGACCTTTAACTCCTCTCCACAATGCAGCAGTCACGCAGAAGCACTGAATTAAAACCGAGACCCAAATACTCACTCAGGGGTTGCTTGTGTCTGGGTGAGCAGAGGTGTCTCCTTGGGGTCCTCAGTGGACTTCAGTCCTTGATTGCTCTGCTTATATTTTTTAATGAAGTCCATCAGAACAGCCTGGTGCCCAATTTTCTTTACCAGCTGCCGTACCATACGATCGTTAAGCGCCAAGAGAGCAGCTCCACTGACTTCTTCCTCTAGGAAGAAGAATTAGATTTCACATGGCTTCCTAGTAAACCGCAGATATCAAAAATAGGCAAAACTACTTCTGGTGATAAAAGGCCATCTGAACTTGCCATCTGCACCTATAAAATATCTGTGTTTTGAATAAGATACAGATATTGCATAGTTCCAAATCAGTATCTGCTCCTAAGAAATACAAGAGCACAGAGTCCTGATAAAAAGTTTTTATTTACACATTAACACCCTTCTCACTCCAATTCTAACAACCATTATTTTTACCAGAAAAATTCTTTTGGAGGAAGTTATTCTTCTAGTAACTCCTAGTTGTATTTAATACTTGTAAACCCCACACTGTATAAAGCACATATGATTATGCAAAACAAAATAAGTATACAATGTCTGCATCAAGTGTGTATTTTGAGTATCTACCCAAAGTGAGCATTCTTGGGCTAGCATATCATCCAGAGATACCAGGTAAGACGGAAACTGCATCAGTCAATAGGAAACAAAAAGTTCTTCGGTCCAATGACTCCACTTTTACAGCAAGCAGAGATACCAGGCAACAAGAGCAACTTCCATAACAGACGGCTCTCAGAATAGCCACATCCCTCAAACAAAACTCAGTGAAGGTATAAACAACTCACCTTGAAACCTGGGAACTAGCTCTCCTAAGTTTTTCTCCACCAACCACCTGCAGACCTGGTCAACTGACCACGTTTCCATCGTGGTTCCTTGTGAATGACACACCTGTAGAATGTAAGGCCAGAGAAGGAATTGCTGGAGCTTTTGCTTTTTGTTTTTTCTGATTCTTGATCTTTGTTATGTTTATATATATATATAAAAACCCAGCTCCCTCTACTGCTGGATACTTTCAGACTTTCAACACTTAGATTAAAGAAAAATTTTTTTACAATGCGCATTTAAAAGTTGCTAATAAAACGAATACTTTTTTTTAAAGGTGGATTTTAACCTTATTGCCTAGTCTTATTTCTTTGCCCTCTCCTACTTTATTTCCACAGGCATCCCTCAGCTTTACTAACAGACCGCCTGTGCATACAATGGCACCCAATCCCGTACCATTAACACCCAGGTTTCTTCACAAAGAACAGAAAGGCGTGAAATCATCAGGAAGTGGTTGACATTTACAAAGGGGTGGGCAGGGTGAGAGTGGGGAAGGATCAAAAAAGAGCCTGGCAGATACCGAGTAAAGGGGATGCGTTAACCCCTTGGTGCTCCCAGCTGGGACAGGGAAATCCTTCCCACTTTCACAGTTCTGGTTCAGCAAGAGAAGTCTGGGCCAACTTTCTCTGGGGAAGCTTACCAGCCTCCTCCCTTCCTTCCAATGTTACTCTGGAATAATCCTCTCTTTTAGAACTTTACCAAACACTATTATAGCTAGCATAAATTGTTTAACTTAGTTGGGCAGATTTAAATTGAGAAAGTAATTGAATATGTCAACATCGTCTAATTGAAAGAAGTATACATAGATTTTGCAAGATATATTCTTAACTTTTGAACCATTTTTGCTACTATTTTACAACTAATCTATCAACTTTGATTATTTTCTCATTTCCCCGAGGTAGCTTGTTCCCTGTTTTCATAATTCAACCCAAGGGACTTCTAATGAATTGGGTAGAAACTGGAAAAAAAAAAAAAAAACCTAAAATATTTAACCTTGCAACATTTTCAAGTTTGACTTTTAATCTAATTGATATTGATTTATTGTGTAGCATGGACTATTCTGTAAAGATAGGGAAAAGCTACTCCTGGTGGAATAGAATCATAAGGAAAGATAAAAATATTTATTAAGTTTGTATTTGAATTTTATTGCTGAAATTTTAAAAATAATATTCTCCATTTTTTCATTTTTGTGTATTCAAATAAGTTACAGTGACAAATATCACACTGAGACTGATAGGAAGGAAAAGATGTTTACCTTTCAGACATGACAGTTTGACAATAACAGTCTTCAAAAATAATTTCCTAGAAAACAAGTATACTTCAAAGCAACAAGCCACATACTCCTAAGTATTCATAAACACCAAGTTGAAAAACCGAAAACAAGGGTTAAATATAGAAGAGCATCTTTTGAATTACAGTCCTGGATTTAGTTTGCTACCACACACAGTAGCCACTGAGCTCCTCCCCTAGGCTAAGCAGCTATTGCAGGGTGTGAAAAGTAATTATTTGTGAAATTCTGGTGTAAATTAAAAATCACACCTTTCTGTCACACTTCTGGCTTCCTTGTGAAGAGTAAGACTTAGGAAAAAAAAAATAGGAAAGTAAGAAAAAAAGGAAGAAAACAAATCTCTAAACTCCAAGATTAAAAGGTATGTGGAGTGGAAGACACTGCCTTCAGCCAGCCACCGATAGGCAAAAGGAAATCTCAAAATGAAAGGTACTGGTGATCACGTATTTTTTAATTTGTAATATTTTATTCCAATTCTACTTTGGTAAAATAGAACAGTTATGAACTTAAACAAACATAATACAAATTGGTAGTTTTCACCATGTTTTTTTCTGAATATTACAGTAATATCACCTAGGCTGCTTCATGGCCTCTTCCCCCATGAATGATGGATGGATTCTTTATGATCTTCTGTGTCATAAAGGAATAAGTGACGCATCAAATGGGAAAAGGTGCATCTAGTAGCTTTACTCTGAGCTTCCGAAATCCCTGAAAAGATGGACAAACGCGAGAGCAATATTATCTCTAAGTATTTGAAGGCACAATAGTAAGAAAAAGAATAAAAAGAATTAATAAGTGTCAATGCTCCAGCCCAGCAAGTCTCGTTTGATTAAATTTTGCTTCCATAAAAGAAGTTTGCATTAAATATTAAAAGGCCTCATCTAATTAAAACCAGGAAGAGGAAAAACTTTAGGTAAAGCACCCTACATATGAACAAATTTTATTTAATAAATTTGTTAAAACTCCAAGGAAGATAATAAGGCAAACTGCTATGAATATGATTTATATGATTTAGAATTTTCAGAGCCACATTAACCACAAAAGAGCAGTTTTTAATAAAATATGAAAATATTTTGTCATTTTGTTTCTATTTACATTTTCATCTTCCTGTAGTCCAAAGGCTGAGACAACGAAACATTTCTCTGAGCTTTGCCAGCAGCACATACTTTCTTCTGGAACCATCCCTCACCCCACACTAGAAGGACCATCTCCCTTTATGGCTGTACTGAAGAGGACAAGCTATGAAACAAAAATACCTGACATGAAAAAATAGGGCTTTGGAAGTCCCCGGATACAGTGTTATGTTGAGTAACAGCCAAGGATATGAGGCAGTGACATCATGGTGGTGCTCAGTGGAGCTCATCTTCACATCTCTTTGGAGCTGATGTACATCCCAACCATCACCAGACGAGGTGGACTACTAACTGGAACAGTCAACTAGAATACTCTGCCTGCTTTAGTCATCAAAATGTTTGCTGCACAGATAGTCCAGAGCTGGCGGAATGGTGATACGCTGAAGCCCACAGCCTTACAGAAAAATAAGACACATATTAATACATAAGCAAAGCATAACAGAGCCAACCAGGATGGGTACTGTGGAAAGCAGCAGGGTGCTGGATTTCGCCTACAGTCTTTGGGAAATGATTAAAACTTGATCTGGAATGTGCTGATAGATGCAGTTTCAACAGTGAGGAAGCCTGAAGAAGTTGTATCTCCATAAGTAGACCAGAGTTTCTGGAATGGGAACCACATGGTAGACACTGTCTAAAGATGACTTAAAAGTTTGGAGTTCTGAGATAAGTTTATAGACAGGCTTGAGCTTAGGAGCATCATTGACTAAGAGTGTGTACCATGTTTTCGAAAGGTTATTTAGACAGTAGAGTCAGAAAAGTACAAGAAAGGATTCTTTCTTGTAAACATTGCAGGAGATGGAAGAATTTATTCTTTGCCAGGCACTAACATAACCATTAATTCTCCTTCATTCTTGAAAACATAGATGCTTATATAAATGTCACAAACACTTATGTAAATTATATTCCTTTGCCCCATTCCGCCTCGTTAGAAAAATACAGAGAGCTATGAAGCTAGCAGATACTAAGTAAAACAAACACACTCAAAGAGACTGTCTGATATCCATTAATCTAAGTCATATGAACTGGCCAGTTTTATACATGCAAGAATTTACAGTTGAAGTGGGTTGGTGATGTAACTCAATGGAAGTGCACTGGCATAGTATACACAGGATGTTGGGTAAAATCTCCAGCCCCCAAAATAGTCCATGATGGGTAAATTCTTATGACTAAAATTATTGATTAATGTCTTAATTTTGTAAATTACTGTTTTCATTCATTTTTTACAGCAAAGCTTTTCAGAGGGGTCTATAATTTATGGCACTGACATTTGAGGAAGAGGAGAAAGGGTGAATTCAATAGTAGTAACTTTATTTTGTTATTATTGTTTTTATTGTGTGTGTGCATGATGTGTAGGAGGGAGCATATGCCATGGTGTTAGTGTAGAGGTCAGAAGATTACTTTGTGAAGTTGATTTTCTCTTTCCACATTTACATGGGTTCCTGGGACCAAATTCAGGTTGTCAGGCTTATGTCATAAATCCCTTTACACTCTGAGCATCTCACCAGTCCTTAAATTTTATATTCTTATATTTAACAAGAAGCAATCTGTGAGGTTTAATTAAAATAATGAATAAAAATAGCCATGAGTAGAGTCTGAAGACTTTTGTGACTTTTCAGTCATAAACACCTGGGGTGTTTGGCCCTTAAATCAAACCCATGTTCCATCTTTACTTGCAGTCTATTTATGGTCGAATCTCATGGAATGGCAACACAGAACACATCTCCCTGGCTCTTGACAGATATGGTAACTGTGAGCTGTGCTGTTTGAAGCTGTCAATTCTCTCAGCATTCATTTATAAATTCCAAATAAAATTGTGTGCTTTACTTACTATTGTTCTGGTGTTCATCTGGAAAAAAGAAGAGGTAGAAATGCTTGGCAGAAGAACTTGCACTGCTGGATGTTGAAAAGTGCCATATAGTTATAATAAAGATAAAAGTACAGCACTAGAACAAGAGGGAGCAGCATTCAAATGACTGAAACTGAGTGGAACCTTGGAAAGAGAAATACGCACAATGTAGTGCAAGGAAGACTGCTCAGAATCAGTGGCAAGAGATGGGATTACACAAAGTATTTCCTTAGGACAATACCTCATGTCACCCATAAAATCAATTCTTTAGATTAAATATT